GGCACAGATAAACATGATATTTCTTAAATACAACAAGCATGAAATAGGGATTTCTTCACTACTACTACTAACGTAGAAAAAACTTTTTCATTAGTGAGACTAAGTGAGCGCTCTATCCACGGAGAGCTTTTCCATCCAGCGGGCAGGCAGAGATAAACAAGATATTTCTTAAATACAACCAGCGTGTAATAGGACATTTCTTCACTACTACTAACCTAGAAAAAACTTTTTCATTAGTGAGACTAAGTGAGCGCTCTATCCACGGAGAGCTGCTCTATCCAGCGCGCAGGCACAGATAAACATGATATTTCTTAAATACAACAAGCATGAAACAGGGCATTTCTTCACTACTACTAACCTAGAAAAAACTTTTTCATTAGTGAGACTAAGTGAGTGCTCTATCCACGGAGAGCTTTTCCATCCAGCGGGCAGGCATGTCACGCGCCCCAAGAGACGAGACCCAACTGCGCGAACCGGCTGCACTGGCCGCACCCATGCAGCAGGCTCTAAAATTTGACCCGAAATGAAAGGAAGGAATGGAAACGCGCGAAGTGGAGAACAAATAAAATCAGTGAAGAAAAATCTTTCTATGGATTAAGAATGAAAGAAACGTCAAGGAATATGAAATTTACGGGAGAAAATAGAATGCCCATCAACATAAGGGGTAAAAATTGAAAATGAGAACCAAATGGGTCAGGTGTGATATAAGAAAAAAAAATGACGAAAGAACCTTCTATTGACCGTACTAAAGTGTCGCAGACATGATCAAAATCACGTCTCATTGTCCTATTGCACCGAATAATAGTCGAATATGTCAGCTCCTGAATTCAAATTAGCGCGATTAGGATTTCAAATGAGAGCAGAACATTCATCGACATCTAAAATAGGCAAGATGAACATTCGAGAAATTGATTATTGAAATGTAAAGAGGTGAATGATGAAGTCCAACGGAATAAATCTTCGGATAAAGCCGGCTAAGATTCTAGGTGACTTTTAGATCGTCTTTTCGAGGTGAGAACGTTTTTGTCACCGTACCTATGAAACCACAATAAAATCTGTCGAATTTGTGACACCCTCGATACTTCAGAGCATTATTATTGACCTCATGCAACCTAAACACAAACATTTCATCCCCCTGAAAGCAATAACAAACAAAAAATTGGCAAATGCGTCAACAGCGTTGCAGTAACAGCGTTGTATACCGGTGAAATTATTGTATATAAAGAATAATTGAACTGATCTACGAAGGAACCCCTCTAACTGTGGAAGAACTTTAGAAAAAATATAACTCAGTACTCACTGCAGTGTGTGACAGAGAGCGCATTTTCTCGTCGACGAAAACGTGAAATCACGGACGGACAGACAGACGGACATGACGAGCACTAAAGCACAATAATAGCGTTTTTTTCCATAAATGAGAAAATGCGCTAAATAGCACAAGGAGGGACTTTAGCGCCAAATCAAGTAATCCTAAAGCATTGCACACAAAACACTTCATTCAAGAGGCAAAGTAACACACGTTGACAAGGAGTGCATGCGAGACGCTGCAGCCAACAGACGTCATCCTATACCGCCCAGGACCAAATTAACTGCCGGCACATATAGGGGTTGACTGGCGCCCGCATGGCAGCTTCCGATGTGCCTAACTGCACATCACATCATTATTATAATTGCTTCACAGCCATAGGCCTATATGCCTAGCTGCGTGAGAATGACTTGGCTTAATTCTGATTCTAATGACGTAATTGTACATTGCCGCAACTCTTTGTCGGGAATATACGAGTGGTTGAAGCTAGCAATCGGTTAACGAGATATGAAATTTTAGTACAATAGAATATCAAACTATTTTGTGAAATAACAAGGGTTGTATCGGCTTCACAATTAGCGAACATTTCACTTATTTAATAATGATGGAATTTCTGGATCAACACAGTAAGAAATTTGACGAAGAAAGGTGAGCTAAATAAACAGCTGATGTTTTATTATAGCGACTGTTTCAAATTTCGAGCGTTACTTGATACACATATTTCTTTCTTCAGTTATAACTTCAGTGAACTTTTTCAATTTAGTTTCCATCACTAAAATTTTTTATTTCATGCACTAGCGAAACGTATTAGTTCCTGGTTAAGAACATGCCTGAAACATGACAGTGAATAGGCCAAACTAGCATTCAGTCAATAACTGTTGATAGACATAGAAATTCTCTTTGAATGAATTATTCTAAAATGATTTTATTTAGGTATGGAATTTTTTGAATTTTTTGATCACCGAGCTTGGGATTGCAATCTAGATAATTTTTGTATCTTATTTCAGAATTCGATAATAAATAAGGTTTTATTAGCTGAATTTTTTATAAAAGGGTCATGCAATACCATTAGTTACCATTTCTGCTATAATTCAACTTAAACAAATACTCGTTCAATCGAAATTTATAATACAATTGTCAATGAACTTAAATAATTTTAAAAATTTGAGCCTGATGATTGAGTCACTGATGATTTAAATCAAGGACAAAATTTATAATACTCTAATAAATTCAATTATTAAGGAACACATTTATTAAGTGTGGGCAAATGTACTCTCATTGAAATGAAAATATTTATGCTTAAAACAAAAATTCTATGAAAATTAAAAACATAAGATGACAAATTTCTACGCGAAATACATCGGATAAACCGTTAGATTATGAATGTCACGCACGACAAAGCTAAACAAAATTAAAAATTATTAGTCATGAATTAAGCAACAGATGAATAGTTTTGAAAGTCAAGCACTCACCTTGTCACATGTCACTGATGATCTTGGCATTTATTTAAATATATACAAAGTTATTAAACAAATTAAAAATTTATATTATTCAATTATTCGAATTTCATGTCTTAAAATGAAACCCATGCACTCATTCCATTAACACAACATTCTCTTCATTTGTAAACAAAAACTCATTCAGGCTACTGAGTATATTGTTGCCCACAATGTAAGCCACATACAAGGTCCACACAAATAAATATGTTACGCTGGGATGAAATAGAGGGAAATCATGTCGATACAACAAAATTCGGCGTACCTAACATCAGAATATATAATTCCTTTTTTCAAACCGTGCCTTGCCTAATAATTATTATTTCGACTCTAGAGTGTACAAACTTTACAACGATTAGTACGACGAAATACCTCGTTATAATGATAAGTTGCAAGTATTTTTTTAACAGGCGCAATATTCATTGATCCATTATGCACTGTTGAAATAAAGAACGTACACTCGGGTTTAAAATCATCTGCCGTGTATCAACAACTTTTACCATACAGGAGACTGGTGCATTCCGACAAAATCCTATGCATACCGAGCGTTTGCTGAAAATTAGCATAAATATTTTCGTATTTTGCTAAGTTTAATTTCATCGATCATTACCAATTGTTTGTTTGCCGTGAATTGCGCTCTACAAATGATTGCAACTGACCAAAAATTGTATCATGTCTGTCATATTTCTACAGTTCCGTATTTTCGACGCAGGTATTTTACAAACAAGAGCCGGTAGCGAACGCTTGATTCATAGCAAAACTCGATTTTTTATCATATTCAGTTAAATAATTTTTGAATGAATTGTTTTTCTTCCCAAAGTTAAACTTAGATTATTTTAATTTAATTCGTTCGATTTCTTGAAACTTTTATTAATCTTTTAGCGAGTTTTGTGACGTGATGTTTGGAGTATATTTCTGGGATTGTTAGGAGCTTAATTTTTATTTGCACTGAATGCACGGGCACAAATTAGGAATATTCGCAAGCAATAAACAGGCAGGGTTTCAAATTTCAAGTTTTTCAATTTATTTGATATATTAATGATGGTCTTGTTTCTCGTAGTTCACAATTTATTTACAAAAATTCTATTTAAAGGCTAAAAAAATTACGCTAGTCTCTTTCTCATAAGAGATTATCAGTTATCGGCAAATTGAAGCTTTAACAGAAGCAGCAATAATATTGTTAAGCATTGCAAGAATTGAATGGAAAAGGGGAAAATCAGTTATATAAGAGTAAGAAAAACAAAAATTTTACTGATGCAGCATACGGAATGGAAGTGACCTCATTATACGAATTTTTGACATAGAAGCTCAATGTAAAACGCATCCAAGTATATCTTTGACTATTAATAAAATCGCATGTCTATATTAAATCACACAATCTAGGCTATTTTGAAGTAAACGTATCTTCAAGAATTCAAGAACTTCAACATAAGAATTTGAAATGGGACATAATATAAATTTTTCTAAGAAATAATTTAATAGAACACTGTCAGTCGCATTACAGTAGGACGATAAACTTTCATTAAAGGAAAATTTTTGAAGAGAACACGGAAAATTAGACAAGATAAGGAATAAACAGCGGTCGCCAACACTGAAACACGGATCACAGGAGAAATGTAGATGGAGAGGAATGAACAGAAAGGAAAACGTTCAGAAAGCAGTTAGACAAACATTGACATTTAACGGCCAAAATACTGAAATTTAATTGATAATAGAGATATTTTCAGCAATGGTTGATTTTTGCATTATTATTTATTGTTATTCGCCATTTATTTTTGAACTTGTTATGTTTCTCTGCTGTGAAAGATCTTTATTTGATACCATGACATAGTTTCAGTAATTAAAATAACTCGAATTTACAAACTGCCTTAAAGTGAAAATAATGAACTTTCGTACCATGTCACAGTGGGGCCTTAACAAGAGATTAATCAGTTCAGTCCGTTTGAAAAAATTGAACTCTGATGACAAGAGTGTTCGAAATTATCTAATTGAAATTTTCAACAACCAAACAAAAAACACTAAACCTTTTTTCTAAAAAACAATGAACAAATCAAACGAATTTTAAGAAAAGACGCAAGTAGCGAAAAAATATGATACAAAATATAATTAGTATTGAGTCAAAGAATTTATTTGTAGAGAGGAAGAGTGGCCATGACAAGCGCAAGAAGAAGGAAGGAACACAAGGGGAAAAGTTATACCTTCGAAGATCTCTGACTGGCCAGCGGTGTGTAACCCTGTGGGTAAGAGAACGTTTCACTCAGTTTTCAAAATTCCATACACTTCTGTCCAAAATGACAATAAAATGAACAACACACTTTGCTACCAGATAAACGTGGTCATGCTAGGACCTAGAATTTAACATGGTGTTTCGTTGAAAATTGAACAGTGCTCGCACATAAATAAGGGACTGATACGGTCATGCTAGCATTGTAAGCTGAAAATCTACTAAAACAAAGTGTCATATATGAACATATTTAAAGATAAATTACATGATTACTTCTTAACATTAACGAACGAAAACATGCAGCAACGTATTAAATAAAAAAAGGTGTAAAAGTGGGCTCTTCAACCGGCATTCTTGTGGCAAGTGCCGAAAAATAATCAAACTAGAACCAACTGAAGAACCTTACACCGAAACATCCTCCACACAATCTGGGAGAAATTTTTTCAACACAACCGACATAGAAAGTTGCATTGGGTGATTCGATAATTTAAATTTAATTTTTAGTTCAATTTTCGATAATTTTAATTAATTTAACCAAAGTATCACACCTGCGTGATTCCATCACTTAACATGCAGCGTGGTCTCCCAGCAAAATTAAAAAAAAAATCCCGTGCAATTCTGAAGTATGCAAAAAATATCCAATGAAATCAAATAATAAGATGAAAATAATAGCTCTCAGTAGCCTGTACTGAAAATGAACCAACGAAGTGATGCGTGAAAAAAAAAACACATGTAAACAGTGATCCCTGATATTCATCAGAATACATGCTTCGTTTCTCGAAAAGAACTTTTGCGACAATTACACGATAGAAACATACAATAATACGAAAATGCACGTTTGATTATGGAGTACTTACTATGGTCGCATGCCATATTACCTTTTACGTGGATACTATAATTCTGCGAAGGATTAGTACATCGGGTATCCGATTATTCTGCAGGATTGCGGGGCGCTTCATCACTCATGCCATAAATATCAAATTAAACATACCTGTTCGCCAAGCAGTCAACGATCGGATGAAGATTTTCAGAAGACTATTCCCTTTTAACGTATAAATTATGACATAAGTTAAGGAAAATGAAATTTAGCAAAATTTCGACTGCCTCATTAAATGCTACCAAAACTTGCGCATAAAATTTTCAATACATTTCTCGATCAAACTTGATGTTTCTGCAGTTTAAACTTCAAAGAAATATATCATCTATCCAACATTTTAATATTTATATTGAATGCTGAACGCCAGCGTTTATGAATCTACTATAATATTTCCAAGAGGATTCTTTAAAATTGGTGCAAATGAATAATGAGAACGCGTGACCTTGCGAGTTTTAACACGTCAAAATAACCCAACATGGAAAGAAACAATGTCCCTTCCAGAAGAAAGATTCATCTGGCATTCATCCACACCTCCCGCCTTTACCTCCATTTGGTTCTTTCATTTAATCCCTTTGAAAAGTACATCCCTCCACTCAGCATCCAGCCATTAGTTCCACTTGACACAATCGTGATTTTGCGCACGCCGAACCTAGTCCACTGCTGTGAGAAGTATATAGTGGAATACAAAGCCCATGCATAAATTACGTTCACTTATTCAGTAATGTATATAATTCAGTTCGATACAGAAAACAATAGAAAGTAGAAAAAGATAGAAAAAATGAAGATACAGTAGGTCATTGGCGAATCACCGACAGCTATAATTTCAGGGGTATTGAGGTAGCAGAGCGTCTCCAATGAGAGGCTCAACCACACCAGCCCATGCATGCTAGACGATTGCTAGGCAACACGGATTCCATCTTGAAAGTTTCTTTGGAACAAAGTTGTGCCTTAGCAAAATCTAACTTAACCTTAATAGTGGGAAAACTAAAAAGTGACTTCGTAGATCAAATTCGGGAGCTAGAAATCAAGTTTGGTTAAATGAAATTCCCTAGATCCTACAATTCTGTGCTATGGGGGAACAATTGAAAGTCATTTCGTTCTTAATTAACCCTTTACCGCCGTATGTTACTCTCAAGGAACATACGGTAACTTTTAAGTCTAACTATAAGTAAACTATTGACTGTAGCAACCTGAAAACAATTTATCGACTCAAAAAGAGAAGTTTACAAATCCGCCGATGCACCCGTCCGTTTCACATTAGAAATTTCAATAAAATTAATAGAAAACATCTATGCCCAATATTTTTTTCATAGATATGGCTTTTCTAAATAGTTCATTCTCAGCCATTTTGACAATACAGAGTGAAAAGAACCCAGTTCATTTCTCAAGGCTTGTTATTTTCTCAGGATGATCCTGCGCGGCCGTGCAATCGATACCTTATCTGACGAGATCTCGAGGCCATTGGAGATCTTCCCTCGCCGAGGGGATGCACTGCGGCGCTGACAGCTCATTTGAAAAGCTCCTCATTTACAACCACGGCTGCGACACTAACGACTCTAGCGGAAACAGGGAAGTCCGACCCTCTGAACCTTTATCGCACTAAACTATCGCGGCTAGGGAAGATATAAAAAGTTAAAAATTCCGTACGTTCGACGCCACACCACAAACTAAGAAAAAATCAATCGATTGAAATAGCTAAAAATCTGGAGAATAGAATATAATTTTGCTCGCTTTAATTAAAAAATGAGAGCGAGTCGTGAGAACAGCAGTCAATAACAAAGCAAAAAACGAAAACATCACATAAAAATCTAAGCGGTGGAGCGACACCTGTTATCGCGATTATTAATCCGGGCATTCAACAAAAAATAACTTGTAAAATTCGCATTGAAAATGTCCGAGAGCTTCAATTATCAATTTATTTGGCAATTTTCGTTTAGGTCAAACTATTCCCATCGTAGCCATGTTATAAACCATCACTTTGAACTCGTGACTTGGACCATATCTGGTCCACCGGCTTCAGGGAGCGAGTGCAGAAAACTATTCGAACAAATCTACTGCAGCATTCCAGCTAATGGAGGAAAAGCACGAACAAGCAACGCAAGGAGAATCGATTACGAGGACGTTTTAATTCGCTTAATTAACATCGGGGATGCGAAAAGTGCCACATTGGACAGTCGCTGTTTGAAAACCGACCTTCGCTTTCCAAACTTGACTTGAACAACTAGAGCGTAGTTTTTGAGGACGATCTTCTATATTTTCAAATTGAAAAACCGTAAATTAAATTCCTGATGAAATTCGTTGATGAGGAAAAGGCAAATCAATTGGTACTTGATACCAAAAGAACCTGCAGAGATGAGCACTATCAATTCAAAAGGTCTACTATCAACAATAAAATATGTTGTAGGGGAGTTCATTAGCTCTAGAATTGGGAATATTTGTGTTAGCGAAGCTTAGGAATGAACTGTTTAGGAAAAACAAAAAAAAACATGAATGGATAGCGTGGAAATGGCAGCGGTCTTTTCAAAGAGGAGTCACTGGAATCTCGAAGATATAAAGGTTCCAGGCTTATTTTATTGGTAAGAAAGAAGCTGGCCAAGTCTGCAGAGCCGCGGAGACGAGGATTGGGTTACAGGCTTGTCAGCCTGATGGACGGTCCCAAAAAACGAGGGGAAATGGAAACCGAACTGAGCCGTGGAGCGAGGAGAATAGACGTAAAACCATGCGAAAGATCACGCGCGCTTGCTGAGCTTTGGCAAAGAAGATCGCTTTGCAAATGATCTCTCTACAGCTTAATGTTTCATCTATTTAGGTGGCTTTCAATAAACTCTGTCAATTGTCTACTGTCAATTCAACCATAAGACAATCGTGTTCGCACGACTTTAGTCTTGTCAATCCCACGCTTACTGATTCGTTACATAAGATCATAAAATTAAAATAGGCTTCACAACTTGTGAATGGAACGTATTAGTATTCGGGCTCATAAAGTTTAGATAATAACGATACCGGTACGTAGGAAGTTTTTCAGAATAACAATAAAATATCTGATCATCTTCCACGCTGATCGTCGCAAAACAAGTATAAATTGTTTAACGGAACAACCTGCCGTTAAACAAAGAGACCACCAGAAGAAAAAATCCCACAAGAAATCATCGAGAAAACAAGTACGTAGTTCGGAGAGCGGCGGCTCTTCTATACAGACATGGAACAGCTGCTGGACTCATTAAGCTCAGGAGAAAATTAATTAGGTTCTTGCGAACGTGCGACGATCAGTCGCTTGTACGCGGAAAGCGCATCAGATGTAATGGTCCACTCAGCGCCAGGATTTCAGACAGACAATCTCAGAGTCCGGGGCCTATACTTTCAAAAAAAGTTAAGAGATCGCAAGTTCATCAGCCAATCATTGACGGCCTTTCAAGCAAAATCCCCCAATCATAGACAAGAAAATAGAGCGTAAGTACTTACGTTCACTTAGCGAATTTTGAAAGTATTGCCCCAGGATTTCAGACTCTGAAACCAGGATCTCTGACTAGGGGACTGAACCTTAGCACTTTACGTCGGTGACAATTTCTACACAGTGGGCATATCAGTATTAGCCACTTACGGAAAAAACCCAGTGAGTAAATCAGTATTAGCAACTTACGGAAAAACATCTCTTCGAAAGCGACTGAGATCAAGCGACCTACGATGGCTATAATTTCTGAATATACAAATCAGCTCAAATAATTTACGGTGGAAACTATTTCCGATAACGATATGCAGTCTCGTACAATTGCTGATGAGTGTTAACAAAATTTAAGATATATAAAAATGGACAAAGAGGTTTTTAATTTTCAAGCAGGAGTTTCAAGTGTCTGTTAAAAAGCAAGCATTGAAGTAGGGGATTTTGTATTTCATCAAGCAAATTGAGTTGCATCCTCATTACAGTCACTCACTTCACTATTTCATCTCACTGAGACAAAGTTATTAAGGTTACAAAGAATTAAAAAACACGGGAAATAGCACAGAAATTTAACATAGGTTTAAAAATAGAATGTTTCGGTAATAAAAATATGGTACCTTTGTGTGCCATTTGCTTTGCTTTCAAATTAAAAATGATCGAAGAGAAGCATTCAAATTCTTTCTCAATCATAAAA